GCTAGTGTAAAAACTGTTCATTTCATAGATTTATCTTATTTGTGAAGAACTGTAGCGAGTTTCGAGTACCAAACTTGCCTATTTGTGAATAACAGTTCTTTAAATTAATATTTATTTTCCAGCAATGGGAAATGTGTTGGAAAGCACTTTAAATTCATTTTAAACTGAATAAAATGAAAAAATACTTTATTGGGATAAAGAGGCTTAGTGCTCCATTTAAATAATAAAGATTGTATTTTTGTTTCTCTTTCAAATAAAAATAAAAATGAAGATCTGAGATAAACTAATAAAAAGAATATTTTATTAATATGCTATTATTTTTGTTATATTTCCTTAAATACTGCTTTTTAACAGCAAGTGATCGTAATACATTTGAATAAAATATAATACTTTTAAAAACAGTAAACTTTTGTGGCACTTGTTCGTCATTAAACTGTTTTAATGCATATATTGTATTACTTTTGATATTTTTAATGCTGTATTACTAAGGGTTTTAGATAAATTTCTAAATACATAAGAAATATAATTGCGAGTATAAATATGTGTGTAGTTTTATTTGAACTTAAACAAATTCCAACTTAGGCAGACTCTACCTTAAAGAAATGTGTATTCATTTTGAAGACGTAATGTACTAGATCTCTCTTGCACAAAAAGCAAAAGTATTCTATACTGTTGTCTGGCCATACTACATTTAAATATGCAAAATAAAATAAAGAATTTAATAGGAGGAGAAATTATATCACTATCTATCATGCAAAGTACAGGTCAAACAAATAATATATAGAATGCGAAACGTTTCAAAGTAATAGAAAAATATAGCTAAATAGAACATTACTTCAATTTTTTTTATCCTTTGATTTATACTTTGTTCGGTAGATGCCACTTGGTTATTTCTGTCTTAAAGTTGTTTTATTTTGTCTATTGAAGTCTATTATCAGACCACATTTTAGTCTTTAGTCCGGACTTGCTTCAGACCAACACTTGCCTCTCCTGGTCTGTAGCTTTTGATTGGATTTGGTTTTTCTGCCTTGTGACAATTGGTCACCCCCTTTTTCACCACATTTGACCTCTCCTTCATCGGTTATGATACTTCCATGTCAGGCGCCCTCTGGGCATATGTATCAGGAGCCTGAAATGTCGCCAGACATCAGGAATATTCCGGCAATATCGATATGGAGTGAACTGGACTTTAGTCATCAGTCCCTGTCACGATTTTCAGTAGACACCAGTGTCAAGCTCCTCTGCCTCTTTTATTTCACGCAAAATCACTCGCTACGAGTGCTAAACTGCATCATTAATTTTCATTCCCAAATGGCCATAGTGGATCCATCTGAGTTTACAGGAAAGTACTACTTTTGCACTAGAAATCTTGTACAACAATTCCTGTGTCAAGTTATCAAGGTGTAACGTTTTCAGTTAACAATTTAGTTAGTTTTTTCATTATGTCGATAGTTTGTCCCGATAGGTTTTTCATTATGTTGTAAACTCTTAACATCTTTCTTCTTATCAAAATGAAAAAAAAAAAAAAAGGTCCGTCTAATTATTACCCACAATCATTTCATATTACTGTCGTTTATTTTTCTTTTTTCATTCTTACGTCTCACGTCTTCTATTTCCTTTATCTCAGAACAAAATTATGCTTATCAGACTACATTGATCTTGTCCTATCATTTATTGTACCCTTTTTCAACCTCTTGCTTTTCAGAAATTTATTTTCGATATTTATGCCGTTTCTAAATTACTAATAAACACCGGCACTATGCAATCGCGATTTACGCCCGTTTTCTTGCCAGAGGGATAACTCGAAAAACCTCCTAGGAATTGATCAAGATTCTGAATCATCCCACCCAAGAAAGCACTAAAGTTCAACTACATTTACATGTGCCGGATAGAGAAACCTAATTTCTTAGCACACTTAACGGCTCACGGAAGGAAAGAAAAGTACAAAAAAACTACTTTTGCAAAGTTAGGCAGTCTGTTTATTATTCTGCTGCAAGAATGAAGGCATTACCGACAATAACTGGAGCCAAGTCCAAACGATTTACCTTTCTCTAGCATCAAAAGAAATTTTCGTCTATCCTATCTATTTTGCCTAATTCTAGAATCTCTTGTTATTTACATAGTTTGATCTGAATCTGCACAAATGAGCATATTTTTCTAAGCAACGTCCATGCATTAGCATCTAGTCCTGAAAGCGTTAAGAAATTATTTAACTAAAAAGGCCATCATGTAGTTTCCTATCTTTTATGATGGGAAAGGGTAATAGGAAATGTCTTATGTAAGAGTACTATGAAGCGGGTTTTTTTTTTTTTTTTTATCTTGAAATATCTTCCCTAAATCTCTTCCTTTTAGAACCTGGAAACTTGTTTTCTAGCGGTTAAAAAATTTGTTTATCCTTTCTTTCAAATGAGTTGAAGAGAAGACAGAAGACTTAGACAGAAGACAGAAGGCATAATCATCATGTTTTGTATCCTATCGTATATTTTTACTGTATATACATGCACACTTGCCGACGCACATGCAATAGAGTTATAGATAGAGCAAATAACGTTTTCTAAAACTTCTTGACTTCTGCAGCCGTAACTTTTAGAATATAAAATAACCCAAAGTTTCAGTTATGCTGAATTTATTAATACATATGTCTGGGCATTGAGGCAAAGTAGCAACTTAGTGTTTGGCGTAGATTTCAGCCAACACTCTATCGAGTCTGAGTACGAACAGGTACAGGTCCTCCTTCATCAGGAGCAAATACGTTCTGCCTCAGAGAAATTCTTTTCCTCAGAGAGAGGAGCAAAGAAATTCTCCTTTACCTGATAGAAATTCTTTGCTCTTGATGAAAGAAGGACTTCTACTTTTTCGCTCTCAGAATCGATAGTGACTTTGGTGAGATCTACGCCAAACACAAGACTGTTGCTTTACTGTGTGTTTTAATTTAATATACTTTTCTTCTTTCTTGACATATGTCTATATTTTGTGTTTACATGATCATGTAAACTTATGTACCTTCTATAAAAGAAATAATTTTTTTGTAATGAAGGTAAGGTTATATGGAAAGTTCTGCGTTTTTTGCGTTTCTTCTAATTATTTTTACTACTGATGATAGAGAGTGAATTTCATGCAAAAATTGCTTGATTGAACCAATTGTATAAATATGGTCTTTTCTACTGCCACTGCATAATTTTAATATGCAGCTGTGACATTAAAGGGCGAGAGCTGCATCTCAAATAAGTAATGCATTCTGTTTGGTGGCAGTACAAACATTGTAATCATGAATTGTCGCTACTAAACGAGACGATAGATTCTAATAAACACTGTCCCAGATGGCAGCTTTAAAAGCAAAAATCGAAGCAAAATGCCCAGAACAGGCCAATCGTCGAGGTGTTGTCTTCCATCATGACAATACTTGACAACATATTTCAGTGAATGTCAAATAAAGACTTACTGAATATAGCTGGGATGCGTTCTGTCAGCCCCCTTCCTCATATTCATCTGAATTTGTCTCCTAGTATTTTCATCTCTTCATGTCACTTCAGAATTCTTTGAACAGCCTGGAGTTCACTTCTTTTGAGACTGTCGAAGAGTACTTCGACACTTCACTATTAATAATACTTCGATACTTAGTACTACAGTCGTTAACTTCTTTACAAAAAAAATTCCTAATAACATTTTTAAAAAGGAGTTTCCCTGCTGCCTGAGAGATGGCAAAAACTTACTGAACAAAATGGTGCTTATATGATTAAATGAAGTTTTTTTTACGTTTCTGTACTACTTCACATGCTTGTTTTGAACTTGTTCTGTACTACTTTATACTTTGTGAAAAACAATATTTTAATTCCCTTCTATTCTTGAAATTTACATTTATTTTAAAATATGATTTCTTATATTTTCTTTTATGCAATATTTATCAAAATATAAACTCGCTTAAGAAGAATTCACGGTAATATTTTTGTTATATTCAAATATATTTTTCTGGAAAATATAGATTTAAACGCTTGTATGAAAGAAAATTGAAGAAATGAATTTTGAAGATGAATATGTCCATGCTTTGGGCTTTGAAAAAGCCATATCGAACAAACCGTTTTGGAAGGAAATGAAAATATAACTTGCATATATTGGGTGCATAATACGAAATACTAGGTATCTGAAATGGACAGAAAATTTATTTTCAAATATTTCAGGAAAAGAAAATAGTTATTTGAAATACTCTTTTACGAAAATGAGTTGATAACTTGAATTTTAGCAATAATAAAAAACCCTTTTTTGTATTAAACTTTTGTTTTTAGATAAAAAAATGAGAAAAATCTAAATTTTAACAAAACGAAAATCTAGTAATTAAGTATTATATAACGTTAGAAATATCATATTTGTAATTACAATATGCTGCAAATATGTGAACAGTTTGTATCATTAAAATATAAAATAAACATCTAATCTCGTAAGGAATATATTTATTGCTTTTAAAATGTCATAATTTTTTATCAGTTACACAATAATTAAATTCGAAAAATAAATTAAACATCTTAGATTTGGCCGAATCTGAGAACTGTTTAATCACAAGAACGAGTGGCATGTAAATTAAAAATCTCATGTTTCACGTAGTGGCAATACTTACTAACGTAGCGTAATTATCCATAAATTCTGAAAAGCCTGCACAAAAGACTTTCAAAACGTAAAAATAAATTATTAGTTAGTATCCGGTTAGAATTAAATTATTTAAATATAATTTCTATTCAGACTTTAGTCATATTCGTGCAGGCTTAATTTTACAATAATAATAATACAGTAGACGTTCGTTTTTACGAACCTCTTTTTTACGAACACTCTCGATTTGACGAACTAGCGAATGGTCCCGAATACACTCCCATAGATGTAATGTAATTTTGCGCTCTTATTTACGAACTACAAATCAGGAAAATCTCTTTTTTGCGAACTCAGTTCTATTTTGAGGCAGCAAGTGCGAAACAATCGAAGAAGTACAGTAAGGAAGGAGGGGCGGAGAAGAGGGGGAATTAGGACAAATTTATGGTGTTGTTTGTTGTGGGAGGCTCTCAGAAGAGCATCGGCCTGATGTTGTTGGGTGGGGGTGAGACCATTCGTGTTAAAGGGGTTTGGGTTGCTTCTAAAAGAGAGTTGTTGCTTTTTGTAATGTCATAGTCATTTGATCTGGACAACTCAATCAGTGAAGTCTCGTTAGTCGAGAGGGAGATTGGGCCAGTTTTTGTTAAGTAAGATTCTTAGAGCTATGTCGCAAATGAAGAAACGAATTTGTTTAGCGGTTGAAATAAAGAAGAAGATTTTAAAAGAAGTTGACGAAAAAATATTAAGCAAGACACAAATTGCTCAGAAATATGGAATTCCTAAAAATAGTTTATCGACGATTTTAAAGGCAAGAGAGAAGATCTTTGGAGCTAAAAACGGAAACGATGAATGTGGACCCTCCTCTCGAAAATATTTTCGAGAATCAAAACACCCAAATTTGGAAAGGGCTTTGCTTGTTTGGTTTCGAAAGATGAGAAGCTTAAACATTCCAATTGATGGAAATGTACTTAAAGAACAAGCACACTTTTTTGCTTCCAAATTAAACATCAAAGATTTTAAAGCATCGGATGGTTGGTTACAGAAATTTAAATTTCGGAATGGTTTGAGTTTCCGGAAAGTGTGTGGTGAAAGTGCAGCAGTAGACACGTCATCAGCAAATGAATGGAAAGAAGAAAAGTTGAAATTGCTTCTTTCTGAATACGCTGCAGATGACGTTTTTAATGCGGACGAAACGGCTTGTTTTTTTAAGATTTTGCCAGAAAGAACATTAGCTTACAAAGGAGAGATAAATGTGTTGGAGGTAATAAAGCTAAAGAGAGACTTACAGTTTTGATTGCAGCCAACATGACTGGGTCACAAAAATTGCCTCTGCTCTTTATTGGAAAATATCTGAAACCAAGGTGTTTCAAAAATGTTCAGAAGATTCCTGCTGCATATTATGCTAATAATAAGGCCTGGATGACTGGCAACATCTACGAAAAATGGTTGAGAGATTTAGATAACCGTTTTTCAGCAGAGAAAGCGCAAAGTTCTCCTAATCGTGGACAATTGTACTGCACACATGGAAGTCACTGGGCTTCAGGCAATCCGTGTGGAATATCTCCCACCAAATGCAACTGCAGTTTTACAGCCAATGGATCAGGGGATAATCAATAGTTTCAAGCGAAAATATAAGACAGTGCTCTTGCAAAGAGTAATCCTTGGCTTGGAAAGGGAACAACCTTATCAGATTGATATTCTTGGTGCAATGCATTTATCAATCAGTGCATGGAATGATGTTTTAGATGAAACAATTTCTAAAGCCTTTCGACATGCAGGTTTTATTAAAGAAACAGACGTAACTGAAGAAATCCATGACAATAGATCTCACGACGAAGATGAGGTTCTCATGCATGAACTTCGCCGTAGAAATCCACAGTTGCCAGAACTTTCATTCGAGGATTTTTTAAATGTGGATTCTAATGTCATCTGCACGGAGGAAATATCGGATCACGATATTATTAGCAGCATAATCAACGAGAATGAGAGACTTTCAGATCCAGAAGAAGAAGAAGAAGAAAATGAAGTAACACCAAGACCGACTTTAAAACAAGCTGCTGAATACTTGTCAGAACTTAGACGATTTTTTGAGGCCAGTGATAATTGTGAAATGCTAACAAATATAGAGAAGATGGAGTCTTGCATTGTACAATCTGTTGTTTTAAAACAGACAAAGATAAGTGATTATTTTGTTGCTCAATGACTTAATAAAGGTACGTTTTACAAATATTTTATATTTGTTTGTTTAATAGAATGGATATCATTTATTAAGTAGTAATACTATTAAAAATAATTCCTAATACATAAATAAAAGCATGGAATAGTATCACTAACCTGTCTCGAAAACATTAAAATGTGAAATACTAACAATTTCCGATGTCTTTCTAAATTACGAACTCTCGATTTAACGAACTGTTTTCGTAGTCCCTACGAGTTCGTAAAAACGAGCGTCTACTGTAATATGTCTTTTTGATTTTAATTGCGAGTTAAACCTTTTGAAGACGGGATGGCCATTATAGTGGCCATAGAGTCCTCTCTTTGAAAAGACGGGGTTGTCCACTTTAGTGGCCATGTCTTTTTCCCTTATTTTCCAGGCTGAAAAGTGGGAAATGTCAAATTTGACGTCTCTAGGGTTTTAACCCCTTATTTCAAAGGTCTTTCTTTTGCGACATAGATGCATCCCTCTGAGAATCCATTAAACTACACACAAGAATCTTTGTTGCAAATAGGAGGTGATTTCTTAAAGGGGGGGGAAAGCATTCGGTTCAAGCTTCCCCGTCCTTTGGTAGCTTTTACTGCTTCCAAAGCCCCGGCCTCAAAAGGTTAATATGAGAAAGCGTCTTCTGTTTTATGGAACCTGTGTTTTTTTATTTAATGTATACAGAGAACACTAGAATAAACGAAAGCGCAAATCTACAATTTACATTTATAACAAAGTTTCTGTATACACAGTAATTAAAGATAATATTTTCTTCCTCTTGTTTGATGGAATACTAGCATTTGTATTCTTAAAATGACAGTTTTCTTTGCGTTCTAATCAATATGGAACAGAATTTAGTAACAGACATATATTCAAGAAGTAAAAATAAACTCGTAAATCTCACATAGGATTATGATACTTGGAAAAGTAGTAAACAGCAGAAAGTCTGTTAAAGAGTCTTATGAAATGACGTTTACATAACTCAGCAGTCAACCAAGATCAAGAGATATCTCAGCACCAGTATCCCTGGGAAAATACTGCAAAACAATCATTAATGCTGTGGTTTTGAACATTTATTGCTGCACTATACGCATCTCATAATATGTGAGAATGTTACATTTCCAATTTCCTTTTTTAAAATTACTGTTTCATTTCAGTGATGAATTATAAATGTAGGTAACATTTAAAAGCGATTATTTTGATGCGTGAAGAAGAATATACAAGTTTAAGGTTTATTATAGTTAATAATTATATATATGTTGTTTATATGTGTATTTTGTATGATAAAGGTTTCTTTGTTTTACTTTTACTTAAAAGATACCTAAACGTAGTTTTTTAGCCCTTCTTGTCATGCCTTTTCGACCAAACGCCAACGGTTTTCTCAGTGAGCTTTTCTCAAGTCTACCCATTTGAGGTATATCAATTCCGTCCGCCAGGGAAGTGGGGAAACAGGAATTCCATACCTGTTCTAAAGCTTTAAACATAACGGATTCTTTTCATGTATTTTCAGTCAGTTATTACGCTTCTATAAATCTTGTGCTTTGGAGACTAAACCCATTTGTCTGAATCAGAACAAGTCTTATCGCAGCAAAGAGTGCAACGCTTTGTCTGTCGTTTTCATGAATCTTGAGCACCTTGCAGGAGTTTGCTCAGTTCCACCACAACTTTGAAGGAGAGCAACCCAAGAGATGGGTCCGAGGTCTCCTACCACTCTTACATCAAAAACACTTGAGACTTTTGTCTTGTCTTATACAGGGTGCGGCAGTGAAACTACCTTATTTTAAAAAAGAATAACACAAATAGTATAAGCAATATCAGTTTAATTTTTTTCCAAATTATAGAGAGACAGTTAAAGTTTTTTTATTGCGATTTAAAAATAATATTATTAAGGTGGACTCCGTTCTGGTCCATGAATTGAGATAGTCGAGTTTTGAAGTTTCTTTCCACTTTTACTAGCATATCAACGGGTATGTTGTCGATATCAGCTTTGTTCTTCAGTTGAGCCAGGATCTTTGGACGTTAGAGATTTCAGATAGCCCTACAAAAAGAAATCACACGGGGTAAATCAGGGAAGCGCGCTGGCCACTGACGATCGCTCCGTTAAGGAGATAAGGCGTCCAGGGAAATGTTCTTCAAAAACCCATGGTCCAATGATGCCTATTCTGGAAAATGCACAGCAAACAGTCACACGTTCTGTATGGAGGGGCTGCTCATGAAATTCTCGGGGATTCGTGCCACTCCATTATCGCATGTTTTGCTTAATGCATGCTGCAACAGGAAAGATGAAAATGAGCTCATCGCTAAAGAACACAAGGGCATCATGAGGCATATATTGTCAAAAACGGCTTTGCATGCATTTTTTCGTGAACGAAAATCGTATGGATTAAGTTTTTGCACCACTGCCAATTTATACGGATGGAAATACAGCACGTTGAAAAGTACGACTCCACAGCGAACGCGCGCTCCTCTCTCGTTCACTGCATTATCGGTAATAAACCTACATGACATAAAACGTTAGATACCGCTCTTTTTCAATGAGCGGTATCAAGAGCGGTATCTAACGTTTTATGTCATGTAGGTGTCAATGAGCGGTACCTTTCTCGGAATAAATGTCGCTAGAAGGCGCGCGTTTCAAATAAGGAAGTTTCCTTGCCGCACCCTCCATTTTGAAGACTTCCATGCCAACTAGATACTATAGGTTTACAAACATTCATGTATACTCGAAAACGGGCCTATCGGTACGGCAGTCAGCTTCATTAACTACTACACCGTCTGGGCAAAAGAAATGTTGTAGTATCACAGAGCTATACCGTATTTACTCGCGTATTTTTACCCTAGCGTTTTAGCAAACGGTTCTCAAAATGTTTACTCCCCCTTGCACAACACGTTCAGGAAGCGATCTTCTCTGAATTTTAAAAATGAATTCGTCTTCGTAATGATTGTTTCTATTTTAATAATTCATCTGCTTGCGGTCCATAGGCTCTGACAGATGAAGCAATATTAATAAGGAGCCTCAAGAAAGCTGAAAATACCTAATGTGCTTAATGATTCTGAAGAACACATTACAAATGAGAAGACAAACTGAAGGTGACGAAGATGATGACAATGGTAAGAACTCGCAAGCTGTAGCAGATGACACAGACAGCAGTTCCAGCAGCATGAAGTATATTGAGGTCTAAAGATTAACAGTGGACAACAATAAGGACGAGCGAGACACAAGATACAAAAAAGTAGAAATGAAGATATCTTATTAGATAGTGTGATGTTAAATTTACTACGTATTCTTATTCGAATGTAGATTTCTTTTAAATAAATAATGTGATATTTAGCTGTAGTTTATTCATGAACACATTACATTTGCTTTGTTCTTACTATAACTTGCGAAAATCGTCAAAACCTTTGAAGTTTAAATCATTCGAAAATGAAAGCTAATGAGAGAATTCTAAGCCATTCGAAGCTGCAACCTTCGGAGAAAATATTTGACTAGTCGGTCTGTTGTCATTCAGCGTATTATTCTATTAAATTAGAGGAAGAAAATGTCATTTTAAATTTTTGTGCAAGCCGACAATTTTGTAACAAATGTAAAAATTTCGATTTACACTTACTTTTATTACAATGTTCGTGTATATTCATTAAATTTCGTGTATATTCATAATAAATGTTCGTGTATATTCATAATAAATATTCGTGTATATTCATTCATGGAATCTGTGAATTCATTCATTCATTCACAGATCCCACGAAACAGAAAACGCTTTTATGCATTAAACTTTCAATTGAAATAATTTCAATTATTATTAGTTCTTCGAAAATTAAATTATTGGATTAATACGGTGATTGTACGATGAAATTATTAAAAATACAGGACATTTCTCGAATAAATACAATATTTGTAACAATACAAAGTGTAAACCGTTTAACCGTTAAAAACTTAGTACAACTTGAAAAAAGCTTAGTAAATATTTAATATAAACATGAGAGGCATATATTGAAAATGCTTTTGTTAAATGTTAGATTTCCAAAAGGAAAAACAGCTGCAGATTTTTAATTCGTTACGCAGTGAGTAACTATTTTGTCCATAGCAAAAATGAAAA